ATAATAATAATAATAATAATAATAATAATAATAGTAATAATAATAGTAATAATAATAGTAATAGTAATAGTAATAGTAATAATAAAGTTTTAGTGAGATCTAGTAGATTATGACTGTAAGCCACCCAGAGTAAATTCGTCTAGATGGGTGGTATAAAAGCCAAATGAATGAATGAATGAATGAATGAATGAATGTGCACCCACAGGATCAACACAATATTGCCCTTGCCCAAACCAAAACTAATTCTAGTCCTTTGCAACTTCATACAGTGTTCCCTTCAATTTTCTTCTCTGCCCTATAGAACATGCAGTCACATATCCCACCCCACAAGCCACAACCTGCCTCATCATCAGCCACCACTAAAGTAAGCCACCGTGTGGGTTTAGTCTTCTTGTGGCCCTGCAGCAGCCTGGAAGTGGATGGTTGTGTGTTCCTGCCATGTACATCCCACCCTTGTGCCACTCTGCGAGGGCCCATAACTTTAGGCCCCATGATCCAATCCCGACTTATCATCAGATAAGAACGAGAACCAACCACGCAACTGGCCTTGAACCTGCAAAGCAAACAGATGCGCCCCTTCTCCATTTGGTCCTGACTTGTCCCACCAAGTGCCCGATCAGGAGGGACATGCCCTGTTCTGTGGACAGATCACATGGAACGCCACTTCTTTCAGTAAGATTTTTGAGTCACACAAACCAGGCGTAAAAGGGCATCCCAGCCAGTGGCTGACCCAAGTGTTTGCAAGGGAACAAAGCTGAGAGACCTGTAGACTTCACGGACTGTTCCGGCTGTTAGAGAATCAACCGTGGTGAATTTCTCATAGGCAAAGGAGGGGTTCAGTCTTGCCTGGGGGGGGGATCCCCTGTAATGTAGAGGCACCCTCTTCATCATTAATTCATACAACCAGCCTTGAGTACCAGGCACGGAAACCAGGTTCCAGGGCTCAGTCGCTAATCGCTTCACGGAAGATTGATCATAAATTTGCACTTACTGCCAATATGCTATTTAATCACAGTTTACAATTGTTGATGTTACTTTCTGCTGTCAAGTCAGAACTGACTTCCAGAAACCCTAATAGGTAAGGTAATTGAGATATTTAAGGGGTAGTTTTACCAGTTCCACTCCCTCACTGAGTTTCCATGGCCAAGTGGGGATTCGAACCCTGTTCTCCAGAGTCCTTGTCCCCCACTCTGTTCACTGACTAGACCACAAGGAGGATCTCTAGCAACAGAGCAATCCCAAGAGACTTTCCGTTCCTAATTAGGGTGAATGTTCAGCTCTCATAAAGAGGCCTGAAAAACACTGCTAACTCTAAGGGGAGACAGCCTCCAGAAAAGCACTCATCTGGGCTGGGATCCATTGGATGGGCGTGGGGGGGGGGGTTCCCCACCAAGGGAAGGTAAATCCACATAATGGTATGTTTGCATGTTTGATGCACGGAGCAGCACTTGCTGTGTCTGCATGTTCATATTAGAATAATAAATTTAGGATTCCGGGGTCCCTGGCATTCGCTGCCCTTCTTGTCCAAGCATCTCGTGGAAAGTGAAAGGAAGAGGGAGCGCCGGAGCTTTTAGAGGCTCTCGCTCTCTCCCCCTCTTGCTGGCCGGCCACCGGCACAGAGTACAGTATTGTCTGAATCTCAGGCGAGAGGGAACAACTTGAGCTGCTTTCCCTCCCGGGATCTAGTTACAGCTCCTCCGGAGACGAAAAAACTATACGGAGCATCCCAGGGAGGAGGAAGGCTCTGAACTCGAGGGGCTAATAATGCCAAGGAGAGGAAGGGAAGGAGGGAGAGTTAGTTGCCAAGGGCAAAAACACATCGCCTTGGCTGGAAGGGTTTCTTCCTCGAAAAGTGGCTGTCTCGCCTGCGAGCTGCTAAGCGTCCGTTTAAAAGAAAGCACTCTGCACATGGTCAGAGGGAGCCTCGTTGCCATGCAGGTGACGCCTCCCGGCCTCAACCAAGACGCCAGGAGCGGCGGCGCTTTTTCTTTCCTTTTTCTTTGCCGGCGCCTTACCTCTTCTGCTGCAACAGGTTAATTTCGTCCAGCTTGCGGGCCCAGGACTTCTCGCCTCGGAGCCTGCGCAGGAGGGCAGCCCAGAGCCCCAGCAGGACGCCGCGATCCCCGGGCAGCAGCATCCCCATCGCTCCGCCGGGACTCAGGGGCGCATTCCCGAAGGGGGCTTTGCTCTTCCTCCTCCTCCTCCTCCTCCTCCCGCCCAGCTACTCGTGGCCGGCTCTGGACTGGGCTGGAGGCGGAGCAGCCCGCGGAGAGAGCCAGCAGCCGAAAGTGGCGGCGGCGGCGGTTGCAACATCTGGCCGCGCAGCGAGGCCGGTTGCTGGCGGAGGCCCAAAACCAGGATCGGAGTACCTGCTGGCGCGCGGGGGGGGGAGGGAGGAAGAGGAGGAGGAGGAGGAAGAGACGAAGGTCCGCCCCGGCGGCACCTCCCAAGACGTTATCCTGGGATTTAAAGAGACACCGGAAGAGCCGCTTGCCTACCTGCGGCGAGATGTGTGTGTGCGTGTGTGCGGGGCGGGCTGGAGCAAAAAGAGCGCGGACTTTACTGTCCAGCTTTCTCATCCCTGTGTACTGCCATTGTATATGATTTAATGTGATGTAGGAAATCACAGCCCTGTTAATCTCAAAGAACTGGGTCTGAACCGGAGCTGAAATTAATTAACTAAGGGTGTGAGAGCTTAGGTAGAACTAGTTCCAAACAGCAAATTACTTGTTAATTTAGGGTTGTGCAACCATTTCATTATTTTTATAGTTACAAATATGTGGGGTGATGTCACTAAAAAGCAGAGCAGGAATGCTTTATTGTTTAAGCACATTTTGAGGTGATATTGAAGCATACAGGAACAATATTTTGTACCTCAGGCCAGTGGCTTGTAGCATTTAGATTTTTAAAAAGTAACTAAACATAACTATAGTAATTGCTCTTTTTTTTAAATGGAAGACTGGTGTTTTCAAATTGATAACCAAGTAGCTTGTGGGGCTTCAATCTGTAGCTGTTAATAATTACTTTTTAGAAGTAACTTCCTAGACTTTGATGTCGATTGTATCCCATCTTACCTGCCTGGGAGTCAGACTTATTGGGTTCTGACAAAACATGTAAGACTGTGCTATAATTTAATTAATTGTTAGTTGTCACAAATGTTGAATGAACACAAGATGTACCATTTCAGTTCTGAAACTAACGCTTCTGTGGGTGTGGAGGCTGGAAACATTTTCCCTCTTTAACTGTATTTTATCACTCCCATTTCAGTTTCATTAGCATGGATCCCCATGTCTGATTTTTAAAAAATGAAGAAAATAAGGCTGGCTTAGAGCAAGGCCCTGTCTAGTTCCCTGTGATGTTCTCACACTGGTCGACCAGACGCTTACGGGAAGTTTGGGAAGTCCATAAGCAGAAGATGGCCACAACAATAGCACATCCTCCTCCTTCTTGTGTTGCCCAACAGCTGGTATTCAAAAGCATACTGCCCCCAATGCTGACAAGCACACCAAGCCTTCATGTCTACTGGCTTTAGACCACTCTCCATGAATTAGTTGACCTCCTCTTCAAAGCCATTCAAAGAAGTGGCTATTACTACATCCTGTGTTGGTGAATTCTGTGAATGCTGTTTTTGCCTGCCTTGATTCTTAACCCATTCAGCTTCATTGGAAGCCTCCAGTTCGCAATATTATGAGAGAGGGAGGGAAAAAAAAACCCTTCCATATTTCCTTTCTCCAGGGTATGTACAATTTTTCTTTAAACCATTACAATATTCTGGATTCACCTTTTTCTCTAAACTTAAAAGTCTAGAAACTACACTAAAACTAAACTTTAAAAGTATTTCTATAGGAGGGTGGTTGTTTTTGCTGGTTGATCAGATGAGTTTCTGTCCTCTGCTCTTTCTAAAGTCTGTAATGTTCGTTTTGAGATTTGGTGACCAGAAGTATGTTCTAAGTGTAGTTACATTGCATATGTATATGGAGCCATTATGACATTGGCAGTTGATGACTTCTAACATAGCATTTGCTATTTTTCACAGGAGGCACACAATCCGTTACTTCAGTGTCATGCTTTTCCTCTCACTTTCCTTCTTGGATAAGTTACACCTGTGACTAATGCAAATTGTGGCCTCCTTTGTCCTTGCACAGCATATGAGAAAGCATAAAACTTTTATTCCTTACCATCAGTCACAGAATGATTTTGTGCACTGATTTTTGTGCATGTCTGTAAAAGATGCAATACTAGAACATGTGATAAGTGCTGCCTCCTTCCATGAACTAGCATTGAATGGGTTGTTTGTCTTTTTAATTATTTAGCCTGACCTCTGCTCTCTCTCTTTCTCTCTCTCTCTCTCCATTTAGCCTGACCTCTGCTCTCTCTCTGTGTGTGTATGTGTACATATATATGCTTACATATGTGTATGTGTACATATATATGTTTGTATGTGTACATACATACTGTATGCTTGCATGCAGTTATGGGAAAGGCTCTAGAGCAGTGGTTCTTAACTTGGGGTTACTCAGGTGTTTTGGGACTGCAACTCCCAGAAACCTTCACCACCAGCTGTGCTGGCTGGGGTTTCTGGGAGTTGCAGTTCAAAAACACCTGAGTAACCCAAGGTTAAGAACCACTGCTCTAGAGCTCTGAATGTTACATTTTAAAAAGAACTTGTCACATCACTCACGCCTTCTCTTTAGCTAGCTTGCCATTATAAATGTTGCTCTAGTCATCACACAAGTGATTTGTTGACATGTTCATTATTTTGCACTTGTTCTCATCAACAAACCAGAGTAACAACAGAAAGAAAATCCATCTAGTATTTTAATATTGCAACTTGGAAATATTACTCTTTTTAAAAAAAAACATTAAGGTAAAAATTAAGAGTACTATCTTTACCATTTAAGATTGATAAGAGAATAGAATAAAACCTGCAAAAAATGTCTGTTAAAATACCTTCAAATGACATTTGAAAATAACTGGAGGTTTCTTATGCATTACATCTAAATATAACGTTAACTAGTTACATTATTTGTTACGCAAAAATATGTTATGGATGACTACATTGCTTGTAACTAGTCACTGCCAAAATATGGACTGCACCAATTTTGTGATGCCACATTTTGTGTAATGTAGAATAAACACAGCGAATACTTACCCCACTTTTTAAAAACTCAAAGCAAGAACTGCAAGAGTTGGAGAGTTTGTAACAGGTTCTTATTCAGGAAGGAGACTTTGGTGAGATTTCTTTATATCCTTAATCCTGACCAACAATGATCACACAAGGTGCAGGATGGAAATTCACAATAGTATATAGGCTCTTAGATCACACACTTTGCTATGAGGCCATTTTCACTAATGGAAAATAAAAGAAGCAGGATGAGGATGGGAGCAATACGCCCTGGAACCAGAAAATGCACAACAGCACATAATAAAGCAGATCTGGTGTTCTGTTGCTAGCTTAGGCATAAATAAAGGCAATTCAAAATAAGGAGGATGCTTCTTGAATAGGCAAGTTTTTCCAAGCACTGCTGAAAAAGTTAATTAGAAAAGGCCTCCTTTTCAGCTCATTTCTGGAAAATATTTCAAAATCACCCCACATCATAATTTCGCCATTCAGATCTTGAATATAAACTGTTGTAACTGAAATGATCATTTGCATTTCAAAAGATTAAAATGTTACTACAAAATTGAAATGCTTACTTATCTTGACATCTGTTAATTGTTTTGATTCTGGCAGGCACCAAACACACATTCTCAAACGCCGCGCTGTCATTACAACTTCTTTTTCAAATGCTGCCAGTATGAAGCATTCTTCCATGTCAAGCTGACAACTATGAAATGCGGACAGTTTTCAAATATCGAAATCCGACATAATTGCCTAACAACTGCAGATAATGACTATTTGGCAACTGCGTAGGTATTCAGATACTATTTGCAGGAATTTATTTTCAGGATTTGCAGCAGAAGGCAAAATTGCTTTTAAGAGCACCCGCGGTTTCAAGGGAAATACGGTTGTGAACGTGTCAAGGCTGCCATTCTATGATCCTTGTAAAAGCACCCTAAAGCCATAAAATAGATCAGAAATTCTGGGAGAACCAGTCTTGTATCCCTATGGCCATCACAGCATTTCTTGCACAGATGGGCAAGTAACATGAATACTGTAGATCTAGGGTATATAGTGGGTTTTAAAAAGGATGCCATGGGTCTACAGCATTAAGTGCCCTTTGAGATGTCTACCAACAACAACAACATGGTTGAAGGGGCTGATCTGAGCAAAGAGGGGGAAGGTGTTTTGTTTTGTTTTTGCTTTATTTGCTTGGTTGTTTGTTTTGAAAATAATAAAAGCAAAGGGAGAAGCAAAGGTGATTTCTTCCTCTCCCTTCCACCCGCAGAAACCTTAGGAGGACTTAGGAAATTTCCAAACACACCAACCTCACAGCATTCCAGGTAAGCCACAGCACTGCTCCACCTACTAATGAGCTCAGAGTAATAATAGACTGGATAGTACACATCCAAGTGCCTCTTTAGCTTCATAGCTCAGTGGTTTAGGTATCCGGCTGTGGAGGCTGGGAGTTCTATTCCCTACTGTGCCTCTTTGCAGGGGCTGGACTTGATGATGCATAGGGTCCCTTCCAGCTCTGCAGTTCTCAGATGATGGTGGTGGTGATCTACAGATCCCAAGGGGTGCCTGAGTTACCATAACTCTCCAGCCTAACCTTGCTCACAGAGCTTAGCCGCTCGAAGATGGGGTAGCCAGGGCACTGTCCAAGTGTTAAGGAATTGCTACACTTCTCTGGGTCTAAAGGCAAAAAGACATATCTCAGGGCTGGTACCATTGCAAGAACAGAGTTTGATTTTTGCATCTAAAGTGATTTTAAAGCACGGGCTGCCATCTCTGCTCATTCCTTGGCCTCAAGGCTCACCGGCTCATCACAAAGGTGTCAGGATGTGTGTTGTTCAAAATGGGCTCTCTCTTTTTACTCCTGGCTCTTTTAGAGTGCCACTGTCAGGACCACAGTGTTCTTTGAAGCAAGGTAGGAAGTGGAGAAGCAGCACTGCAACTCCTCAGCCTTCTTGTGGCACAGGGCCCTGGCTGCAATGATACAAAGTTCAGCAGCAACAGCAGAAGAACCTGGTCTTCCCAACTCTCATGTTCTTTTGTGCCATCAAAAGGATCCTCCTGCTCTCAGATTTTTCACCCGGAAATATCAGGAAATGGGATGCTGCTCACCAGGTAGTCCTACTTGAGGAAGGAGGATAGTGGCGCTGCATTTTGCCCTCTCCTTCCTTCAGTAGTTTCATGGTTTTAAAATTTTTGCTTTGCTTAATGCCTGCCCATCTCCCCATGGTCCACTGAAGCTTTCGTTCCTAAGGAAG